ACTTCGGGAATGTATTCTTCAAATCTATCGCCTATTCCTCGACAGTCAATGGTTTCAATGTTTCCGCACTTTATGGCAATTGTGGCCACTATTTGGCGGATATTACTCTTCGGTAATTGTCTCATGAATTTGTCGTCAATAGCTACAGGTAGTAAACCTTGTTAATCAATAGACGTGATTTTTTGTTTGATCTTGGTAATTTTCATACATTACTCACCATAAACGTTACTTATTTGGTCATATTGTATGCCCTTTACTATACAATATAATTGACGCACACCTTATATGACTGTAACATGATATGTGAAGTGCAGGTATAATAGCTATATAGAAACATCAAGCACAACACACTCCGTGCACGCGGCGTGCACTCTACCAATTTTATGGTCAATAGTAATGTCGCGAAGACTCACGAAGACTGACCGCCGGAACTGTTTGGACAGCGATTCGCAACGGATGTGGTCTTCGAGCGGAAAGTATGACAACAGAAGTGCACACAAGTCGTCACCGAATCTGTCGATTGAGTTCTTCGCGTAAATCTGTGGCTAAAATGTGGGCACGAATGAACATATCGGGGTTTAAGGTTTGGGTAACCAGCATATATATTTTTATCATCGGCATATAAACCCACCAACAACCCTCTATCACATCCTTAACCTACCCTAACCTAACCTAACCTAACTTAACATAATATAACTAACTTAACATAAAATAATATTTAATAAAAATATTTTATAATGGTTTTCAATGGGAGGTTCTGATCCCGATATTTCGAAAATTATTCGACATAGAAAATTTTTGTTTTGATATTCGGGTTCAGCGTTAAATTCTACATCGAAATGATATATCACATTTATATATTTAATATTTTCGATGGGGGTGGGGGTAAAAAAGGAGGCTCGGGAAGGGTGGGCCCAGAGGGCATTTTGTAGTGCTATTAGTGCTAATGATAAAAATATATGTGTTGGTCACTCAAACCTTAAACCCCGATAAGTTCCTTCATGCCAAAATGTGAGACAATTTACAAAACAATTAAAATTAAATTAACGTTAAAATGATTATCAAAAACCTGTCGACAGTTGTCTTCGTTGTCGTCATCGGTGGTGAGCTGTGATGTCTTCGAGTGATTCTTCTCTTCCGTCATATCTTGGGATCAAATGAAGTGATTGTATGAATGCATTGAATGAAATCTCAAATCAAATGTCAATCACTTTTTGAATCACTTTTTATTCAAACATTAATTACGGCTCGAATATAGGCTTCACTTGTGTTTGCATTTATCGATATTTATTACGCGAGTTGTCTGTAGTCGTCATTGTCTACAAAATATACGAACAATAAATTGAATTCATATGATTGACGGCTAAAACAAGAGTACAGTTTGTATTCATTTATTGTTGAAATGTTATAAACTTTCATAGAGTTCTCACAATACAATCAATAATCGTTATATTTTCACATTTGTGTTCTCAATACTAATTCATTGTTTTAAAGTGTAATTTGATTAAAATAATTAACTATTAGTACATAAATTGGTTAACATTAATAATTGTAATCTAATTTAACCATAATCAATTCCGAGCGCACTCTTAGACTAAACATGGATTTTAATTGTTTATATTTAACACTAATTAAGTTTGAATACAAAATAAACACAAGTTTTTTATGATTGATATTAAAGACAATTATTGAACTATTTTTATATTTAGTAATAAATGTAATGAAATGAACACAAAATATTAAATACAGTATTAATACAGGAATTAAACATTTAAACCGATTATACAATGAAAGTCCTCCGATAGGAGTTCACAATGAATTCAATGGCTTTTAGTTTAGGACTTCTGGACAACAGATCCTCGAAATCATTATCCCAAAGATCACCGCATGCGTAGACATTGATGATAAGCATTTGCAGCGCCGGTAGTCTCGAGATGTGTGACAAACATTCGCCACATATTGTATTAGTATTGACGGACAGGTATTGAAGTCGTGGCCAATGATTGTCACAATTAACAAACAATTTGTCATTCATTTCCCATGAATTAAGTGTCAAATGTGTTAACCGGTGGCAGAGTGTCAACGGTTCCAACACTTCTGGATTGAGGGCCACATTAAGCCATAAATTCAATCGTTTTAATCGTCGATAACATCGCAATGATTCCAATGAATGGCTATTAAATACATCGATTATGTCATCGTTCAAATAACTATCTATATTGAATTCAAGTGCCAATCGTTTCAATTGTTTGCAATTTAATCCAATTGTAAGCAAAGACTCGGACAATGAGTTGTCGCCAATCGTTAGCAATAAAGTGAGTCTCAATTCCCGTAATTGTGTCAATCGTGACAATTGTTGGAACAGTTGATGGAAAGTGTCGTAAACCATAAACACAGCGCTTCTAAGACATAGATTCTGTGCCACGAATGCAGACAATCGGTGTTTATCTGAATTAGTGTACAAATAGTCTCTTAACTCAAATGAATGCAAACTCTTCGCCATAAGAGTGCCGTTATGTCTATCAAACACATCTCTTAATAAGTTAATCCGCAATCGTGACAATCGGTGGCAATAAGTGATCGAATCGCTGTCCGCAAAGTACTCAATACGACCGATTCGTGTGACGAGTGGTCCCAATGAACGCATTGAAGTAATTCGCCATAAATTGCAATAAATTTGCCGCAAATGACGGCAATTGTCTCGAAATGCGTTCAACACTTCGACAATTCGTTCTTCAGATCTAAAGTCTATATCTCGACAGTCAATGGTTTCAATGTTTTCACACTTTATGGAAATTGTGGCAAATATTTGGCGGATATTACTCTTCGGCAATCGTCTCATGAGTTTGTCGTCAATACAAATGTGGCGAAGACTCCCGAAGACTGTCCGCTGGAACTGTTTGGACAGACATTCGTAACGGATGTGGTCTTCGAGTGGAAAGTATGATAACAAGAGTTGACACAAATCATCACCGAATCTGTCGATTGAGTTCTTCGCGTAAATCTGTGGCTAAAATGTGAGACAATTTATAAAACAATTAAAATTAAATTAACGTTAAAATGATTATCAAAAACCTGTCGACTGTTGTCTTCGTTGCCGTCTTCTGTGGTAAGCAGTGATGTCTTCGAGTGATTCATCTCTTCTGCCATATCTTGGGATCAAATGAAGTGATTGTATGAATGTTTTGAATGAAATCATAAATCAAATGTCAATCACTTTTTGAATCACTTTTTATTCAACCATTAATTACGTCTCGAATATAGACTTCACTTTTGTTTGCAATTTTTGTTACATTTCATACATTTATTGATATTTATTACGCGAGTTGTCTGTAGTCGTCATTGTCTACAAAATATCTGAATAATAAAATTGAATTCATTTGATTGACGGCTAAAACAAGATTACAGTTTGTGTGCAATTATTGTTGAAATGTTATAAACATTCATTGATTTCTCAAAATACAGTCTATAATCGTTATATTTTCACATTTGTGTTCTGTATACTAATTGCTTTAAAGTGTGATTAAAATATTTAACTATTAGTACATAAATTGGTTAATATTAATAATTGTAATATAATTTTATCAATCAATTCCGAGTGCACTCTTAGACCAAACATAGATTTTATTAGTTTATTATTTTAAACACTAATTAAGTTTGAATACAAAATTAACACAAGTTTTTTATGATTGATATTTAAGACAATTATTGAAATATTTTCATATTTAGTAAGAAATGTAATGAAATGAACACAAAATATTAAATACAGTATTAATACAGATATTAAACAATTAAACCAATTATACAATAAAAATCTTGCGATTGTTTCTCACAATGAATTCAATTTCCTTTAGTTTAGGACTTCTGGACAACAGATCTTCGAAATCATTATCTGTCAGACCATTGCTGTGACGGCACTGAAGGCTAAACATTTGTAGCGCCGGTAGTCTCGAGATGTGATCCAAACACTCGCGACTTATTGTATTAGTTTTGATGGACAGGTATTGAAGTCGTGGCCAATGTTTGTCACAATTGACAAACAACTGGTCACTCATTTCCCATGAATTGATATCAAGTGTCAAATGTGTTAACCGGTGGCAAAGTGTCAACGGTTCCAACTGTTCCAATACCCCTGGATGTAGGGCCACATTAGGCATTAAATCCAATCGTCCTAATCGTCGATAATATCGAAATAAATCCAATTCATTGTCAAAATAATTATCTGTAGTTAAATGAAGTGCCAATCGTTGCAATTGTTTGCAATTTAATCCAATTGTACGCAAAGACTCGGACAACGAGTTCTCGCCAATACTTTGCCAAAAAGTGAGTCTCAATTGCCGTAATTGTGTTAAACGTGACAATTGTTGGATCAGTTGATGGAAAGTGTCGTAAACTATAAACACAGCGCTTCTGAGACACAAATTCTGTGCCACGAATGCAGACAATAGGTGTTCATCTGAAGCCATCAAAAAGTGGTTTAACTCAATTGAATGCAAATTCTTCACCAAAAGAGTTCCGTTATGTCTATCGACCACATCATGGAATGAGTTGATCCGCAAGTGTGACAATCGGTGGCAATAAGTGATCGCTTCTCTGTCCGCAAAGTAGTCAATTCGTGTGACGAGTGGTCCGAATGAACGCATTGTTTGCGAACTATTTAAACGATTCAAAGTATATAAATTGCAATAAATTGCAATAAATTGCCCGCAAAAGCCGGCAATTATCCCGAAATGCGTTCAACACTTTGGGAATGTCTTCTTTATATTGATTGCTTATTCCTCGACAGTCTATGGTTTCAATGTTTCCACACTTTATGGCAATTGTGGCCAATATTTGGCGGATATTACTCTTCGGTAATCGACTCATGTGTTTGTCGTCAATACAAATGTGGCGAAGACTCCGGAAGACTGTCCGCCGGAACTGTTTGGACAGCGATTCGTAACGGATGTGGTCTTCGAGAGGAAAGTATGATAACAACAGTTGACACATATCGTCACCGAATCTGTCGATTGAGTTCTTCGCGTAAATCTGTGGCTAAAATGTGAGACAATTTACAAAACAATTAAAATTAAATTAACGTTAAAATGATTATCAAAAACCTTTTGTCGATAGTCTTCGTTGCCGTCATCGGTGGTAAGATGTGATGTCTTCGAGTGATTAATCTCTTCTGTCATATCTTGGGATCAAATGAATTGATTGTATGAATGGTTTGAATGAAATCCCAAATCAAATGTCAATCACTTTTTGAAATTCAAAATTTGAATCACTTTTTATTCAAACGTTAATTACGTCTCGAATATAAGCTTCACTTGTGTTTGTATTTTATGTCACATTTCATACATTTATCGATATTTATTACGCGAGTTGTCTGTAGTCGTCATTGTCTACAAAATATCTAAACAATAAATAAATTCATATGATTGACGGCTAAAACAAGAGTACAGTTTGTATTCATTTATTGTTGAAATGTTATAAACTTTCATAGAGTTCTCAGAATACAGTCTATAATCGCTATAATAAAAAAGCAATTAAATATTTTAATTCAAAATAAACTATTGATTGATATTTTAGACATTTAATTATTATTAATCAATTAGAATCATAAATATTATTAAGAAATGTAATGAAATGAACACAAAAATTAAATACAGTATTAATACAGATATTAAACATTTAAACCAATTATACAATAAAAGTCTTCCGATTGAAGTTCACATTGAATTCAATGGCTTTTAGTTTTAAGACTTCTGGACAACAGATCCTTAAAAGTATTGTTTGTCAGACCATTGCTGTGATGGCACTGAAGGCAAAGCATTTGTAGCGCCGGTATTAATAGTCTTGAGATGTAATCCAAATACTCGCGACTATCCTATATGTCAGCGCTTTTCTCAATTCACTTCTAATATTCAATGCGAATAATGTATTGGATATGATATTAATAACGATTCCGTGGTTTATATTCAATACAATTGTCATCTATTATATGGGAATTCATGTAATCTATGAAAGGGTTTACTTTTATTTGATTTGTCTGTATTTGCAGCTAAAGACCCAACAGTTAAATGTCTGTATATCTGATAGAAAGGGTAACTTAAATGACAATGTTTTGAAAGAATCACTTTATTTTGCAAACTTATTAGTAATAAGTTATTACACAAAGAGATTCACGAATTTAATGGTAATGTTTGGTCGAAACTTATTTGTCTATTCATTGCCAGTAATATTACTGCAAATGATATGAGTTTATTTGCCGTATTGTTTGCTAATATCGGATGGTTTTTGAAATTTATATTTTTTTATTGCTCTTTCGTCTGGTCTATGATTTTAATTATATTAATGATCGCTTCGGCCCTTAATTACCAAACAAATCAAACTTATAAACTATATGTCAAACAATTATATACTAAACCAAACATTTCTTTGAGCGTAAAACTGAAAGTATTGATATATTTTTGTTTGTTTTAAAAATTAATTTTAATTAATTTTGTATTCATTTAAGATGTTATCAATTTTGGAGAAATTGAGTCAATAAACAATTGGTTTTTATTGTTTTAAGTGTTTTATCATTGATTGCATACATGTTTATGAAATAAGCGAGCGATTGATTGATTTTCTATACAATTAATGTTTTACTTGTTTTGTCCAGATTTTCATCATATCTGTTGTATTTATGCTTAAGATAATTGTCATGTCTTTATACGAATAATTATTACAATAAACAGTAACTAATATTAATCAATGATTATTATTAATGATAATTATAGCACACATTATAATTATATAATTTTAAAATGAAAACATAACTATTATCATAAAAATTAATGAAAAGTTTTAATATGAAATATACAGCAGTTTTATGATTGATATTTAAGGCAATTATTGAAATAACCAAAAAACAATTAAATAGAGTGTTATTATTAGGAATATTAAACATTTAAACCCGTTTTATAATTAAAATCTTGCGATTCGTATTATTTTCTATGAATTCAATGTCCTTTAGTTTAGCACTTTTGGACAACACATCATAGAAACCATTATCTGTCAGATCATTGCTGTAATGGCACTGAAGGCAAAGCATTTGTAGCGCCGGTAGTCTCGAGATGTGATGCAAACACTCGCGAGTTATTGCCTTAGTTTTGATGGACAGGTATTGAAGTCGTGGCCACTGTTTGTCGCAATTAACAATCAATTTGTCACTCATTTCTCGTGAATTAAGTGTCAAATGAGTTAATCGGTGACAGAGTGTCAACGGTTCCAACACTTCTGGATTGAGATACAAATGAAGCGCTAAATTCAATCGTTTTAATCGTCGATAACATCGCAATGAATCCAATGAATGGCTATTAAATCCATTGATGATTTCATCGTCGAACTCAATATCTGTATTGAATTGAAGTGTCAATCGTTGCAATTGTTTGCAATTTAATCCAATTGTACGCAAAGACTCAGACAATGAGTTCTCGCCAATCGTTAGCCATAAAGAGAGTCTTAAATCACGTAATTGTGTTAATCGTGAGAATTGTTGGAACAGTTGATGGAAAGTGTCGTAAACCATAAACACAGCGCTTTTGAGGAACAGATTCTGTGCCACGAATGCAGACAATTGGTGTTCATCTGAATCGTTCTTCAAATAGTTGTTTAACTCAAATGAATGTAAATTCTTCGCCAAAAGAGTGCCGTTATGTCTATCGAACACATCTCTCAATGAATTGATCCGCAAGTGTGACAATCGGTGGTAATGAGTGATCGCATCTCTGTCCGCAAAGTACTCGATACCATCGATTCGTGTGATGAGTGGTGCGAATGAACGCATTGTTTGCGAATTTATTCGCCATAAATTGCAATAAATTTGCCGCAAATGACGGCAATTGTCTCGAAAAGTGGTCAACACTTCGGGAATGTGTTCTTTATATATATTGTTTATTTCTCGACAGTCAATGGTTTCAATGTTTCCACACTTTATGGCAATTGTGGCCATTATTTGGCGGATATTACTCTTCGGTAATTGTCTCATGAGTTTGTTGTCAATAGTAATGTGGAGAAGACTCCGGAAGACTGTCCGCCGGAACTGTTTGGACAGCGATTCGCAACGGATGTGGTCTTCGAGCGGAAAGTATGACAACAGAAGTGCACACAAATCGTCACCGAATCTGTCGATTGAGTTCTTCGCGTAAATCTGTGGCTAAAATATGAGACAATTTACAAAACAATTAAAACTAAATTAACGTTAAAATGATTATCAAAAACCTTGTGTTTGTTGTCTTCGTTGCCGTCATCGGTAGTAAGATGTGATGTCTTCGAGTGTTTCACTTCATGTGCCATATCTTGGGATCAAATGAAGTGATTGTATGAATGGTTTGAATGAAATCCCAAATCAAATGTCAATCACTTTTTGAATCACTTTTTAATTCACACATTAATTACGTCTCGAATATAGGCTTCACTTTTGTTTGCAATTTATGTCACATTGATTTAAAGTTGGCTTGGCCAAACGCGATCGTCATTTGTGTAAGATTAGGGTGACCAACATATAAACTTTAAGCACAACTATTGAATACTCATTACTTATAATTTATAAGTAATTAAAAATACATTTCTGGAAATTTCGAGAAAAAATATTTGAACACATTTTTAAACGATTTCTGTTTCCGTTTATGTCTCTGTTTGTACTGAAAAAATGATTCAATCAATGGTTTGTTTTTTATTAAAATTTTGAACCTTTTTTCGGGTAAATTGTTTGCCATTAAAATCGACGAATTGATTGAAAACAACGTTTTTGTGTTTTGCATTCAAAACGGCGTTTAAGTAATTAATTGTGATTTTAATTACATTACGTTTGTATTGAAAATTATTGGTTTTGGAGACAAATGTGGTTTTGATTTGTGGTTTGAGTTACGTATTGAACGTGTTATTCAGGGATGGCGTCAATACATTCCACGTTTTCGGTCCACATGTTTGTCGTGAATCTGATCCGTCGCTTATTTTAATCAATGGTTTTTTGGTTAAAATCGATTTAAACGGTTGTCTCAATAGGTATGTCGACCAAAATATGTCACAATTTTATTGTATTAATTATACAGTCAATAACATAATCCAATCCGCGTATTATTTAATGTTCACGGGTAAACTATGTACAATTTTAAAAATCTAATTCGGTACGATTGTGGTCATCTATGGTAAGAAAAAGTTGGCTATTTTAAATTTTTTTGATTAACTTCTTAATTTTTGTTGAATGATGAATAATTGTTGTTCAAAAACTACTTGGTCGATTTTTGCGTTCGTTATCTCAAAATGTACATAATCTAAAATGAGTTAATATGTATATCAGGATTTTTCATATAATTGATGTGATATTAAAAATAGAGCGCTAAAGTGCCAAAAATTTCATATTTAACATATTTGTCACTTTAATAAACATTGTCAATTTTAACAATCAGTATACTAAAATGTTGAGAATCTTGTCTAGAAAAAAGTGATTTCAGAATTGCATTATTTTATTATTGCATAAATTCAGTTGTTGCGTATTTTTGTCGCTTAATTTGTTATAAATTGTATTAATGTTAATTTCATCATATTAATTTGTAATTAAGCGATAAATTTATGTCTCAAATTTTGATTTTTACAAATTTTGCTAATTTTCAAATATATGTCATAATGAAATCACAACATATATTTAATATAAACATATAAGATTTAATATTTTAATGAGCTAAATTCTTTATTATTTTTAATAAAACGGTGTTTTCAGACAAATCGAGCATAAAATAAGTTTTTGCGAATAAAATTACAGTTTGTAATACATATAAAATTACTTTATAGTCTGTTATAGTTACAATAATAGCATTTCATACTGGCCATTAATTATTATGCATTTTTCTATTTAATATTGTGTGTATACTTCAAAACCGGTTACAGTTATTAAAAAATTTACAAATATTTATATATGTAAGCAATACATGAAACATTGTTATTTAATAATGTGAAAAAGGGTGGGTTAAGAAGTGTGGACGTTAGGAAACCTTTGTCTTGTGGTGAAACTCCCTGAATGCGGTAGAGTGAAATATTTATACTCTATACCCCACCAAGTCCACCATATCCACATAATTAGTTTAGTTTTGGGAAATCTATATTTGTAATTTATATTTTATATTCTAATGTTGTAGTAAACAATGGATAATAAGAAGAGAAAATCGGAGAAAAAAGGAGAGGATTTTTGTTTTGTATATCAACATAAAAAGACATTTAAATGGGTATGCGTATTGTGTGGCTTTCGTCCTAACAGTGAAAATGTTACGCGAACGAGGTTAGAGAGACACCTGAACACCAATCACGGCAACGAAAGTGAGACCCAAAGATACGATTTATTTAATGACAATAAACATCTTTACGATCCAGAAGAAGGTGATATCTCAACAGATTTACCAACACAATCAACGAGTTCTTCTGTCCCCGTTTCTGATATTGCAACTAATAAAGTTGTTTATGCAATTGCTGAACTTATCGCTAAATCAAACCTTCCTTTATCTGCTATAAATGTGATAAAAGAAAGTTTAGACATTGTTTCGGATCTATTATTGCCTTCTAATTATGCGAGTCTAATTAAGTCTTTGCCACTTTCTCGACAAACAATCACACGTCGAATTAAAGACATGTCTGACGACATTGAAAAACAATTGAAAGAACAAACACTTGTTAAATATTCTTTATCATTCGATGAAAGTGTTGATTGTACTGATATACCGCAAATGGCGACAATGATTCGAGGAATTGATTCAAAATTCAATTCAATAGAAGTACTATTAAATCTCCAATCATTCAATAACACAACAACCGGTAAAGACATCTTCGACAAACTGATATTATCACTCAATCAATTTAATTTGAATATTGAAAACCTGGTATCAGTGACAACCGATGGGGCCCCGAGTATGGTTGGGCAATATCGTGGTGCCGTTACACGACTTGAACAATATATTAGTGATTTATCATCAAACCATATAAAGAGATTTCGTTGCCTTATACACCAGTCATCACTGTGTGCCAAAAATGCATATTTTATTGACAAAATGCAAACTGTCGTGTCCACTGTTAACCACATTAGAAATAATAAATTGATTCATCGACAGTTTCGAGGATTTTTGGCGTCAAAGAACTGTGAACATAAAGATGTTATTTACTTTAGTTCTATCCGGTGGTTAAGTCGTGGCGAATGTTTGACTAGATTTTTTAAACTGTTTGATGAAATTAACGAGTTTTACAAAACTGAACTCAAACAACCTCTTAAAGCGAATGGTGTTCTTCTCGAAAATAACCATCAATATCGACTTGAATTGGGATTTTTTGCCGACATCACTATGATTTTAAATAAATCTAAATTAGATATGATGGGTAAAAACAAGTTAATTGTAACCCAATTTGAAAGCATTAAACATATTTACGAGTTATTGGACAAAACAATCGAACACTTTGAAAGTGAACCAACAATTAAGTCAAATCCTATACATGATTATAGTAGTTTCGAGTGTTTTATGGAAGTGATTAATAATTATAATAATGTGGAATTCAGTACTGAAAACATTTTGATTTTATTAAGAAATATGTTTTCTGAATTTACTAAACGATTTCAAGACTTTGTGTCCAATGATAACCATTTTAACGTTTTCACCAATCCTTTCAATGTTATCGATATACCAACAGATTTAAATGATGAAATATTATCAATACAACAAAATGAATTTTTCAAAGAATTATTTAATAACAACAATGATATTATTGAATTTTATCGACAAATGGATTTTCAAAATGTTTACCCTAAATTGGTTAACAATGCATTATCAATATTGACATACTTTGGCACCACATATAATTGTGAACAATTTTTCTCGTTAATGAAAGCCCGAAAGAACGATAGCTCTAATCGATTAAGTGATGAAACATTAAGTGCTTGTCTCAGAGTTCGTTCAACAAATATGATTTAAATTAATATTATTATTTATTAACTTTACTATTTATTTAATATTATCTATGACACAATTAACTAATTATTACATTTTGTTTATTAACCTTAAAAATGTTGTTATTTGCTAAACAATTTGATTTTCTATTAAATTATTAATATAAAAATTCATGTGATTTTTTGAGGGAATTATCTGGTCACTCTAAAAAAAGAGAACGCGTTCTCATTTTGGCCAAGCCAATTTAAGACAATTATTAAAATATTTTATATTTTATATATATTGTAAAAAATGTAATGAAATGAACACAAAATATTAAATACAGTATTAATACAGAAAATAAACATTTAAACCAATTATACAATAAAAATCTTGCGAATGTTTTTCACAATGAATTCAATGGCTTTTAGTTTAGGACTTCTGGACAACAGATCCTCGAAATCATTATCTGTCAGACCATTGCTGTGATGGCAGTGAAGGCAAAACATTTGTAACGCCGGTAGTCTTGAGATGTGGTCCAAACACTCGTGAGTTATTGCCTTAGTTCTGATGGACAGATACTGAAGTCGCGGCCAATGTTTGTCGCAATTAACATACAATTTGTCACTCATTTCCCATGAATTAAGTGTCAAATGAGTTAATCGCTGGCAGAGTGTTAACGGTTCCAACACTTCGGGATTGAGGGCCACATTAAGACATAAATCCAATCGCTTTAATCGTCGATAAAATCGCATTGAATCCAATGAATGGCTATTAAATTCAGTGATTATTTCATCGTTTAAATCTTCCGCAAAATCTGTATTGAATTTAAGTGTCAATCGTTGCAAATGTTTGCAATTTAATCCAATTGTACGCAAAGACTCGTACAATGAGTTCTCGCCACTCGTTAGCCATAAAGTGAGTCTCAATTCACGTAATTGTGTTAATCGTGACAATTGTCGATAGAGTTGGAAACAAATATCGTCAGCACTAAAAGCGGCACTTCTTAGGCACTGATTGTGTGCCACGAATGCAGACAATTGGTGTTCATCTGATTCATCCAAATATTCCAATAAATCAAATGAATGCAAATTCATCGCCAAAAGAGTGCCGCTCTGTCCAAACGCTTTGCGGAATAAATCGATCCTCAAGTGTGACAATCGGTGGCAATGAGTGATCGCTTCTCTGTCCGCACAGTAGTCAATACCACCGATTCGTGTGACGAGTGGTCCGAATGAACGCATTGTTTGCAAACTATTTTCCCATAAATTGCAATAAACTTCTTTCAAATGACGGCAATAATCTCGAAAAGTGGTCAACACTTGGTGTTCTTCATAAGTGCTGACTATTCCTCGACAGTCAATGGTTTGAATGTTTCCACACTTTATGGCAATTGTGGCCAATATTTGGCTGATATTACTCTTCGGTAATCGTCTCATGAATTTCTCGTCAATACAAATGTGAACAACACTTCGGAAGACTGTCCGCTGGAACTGTTTGGACAGCGATTCGCAACGGATGTGGTCTTCGAGCGGAAAGTATGACAACAGAAGTGCACACAAATCGTCACCGAATCTGTCGATTGAGTTCTTCGCGTAAATCTGCGGCTAAAATGTGAGACAAAAAACAATTAAAACTAAATTAACGTTAAAATGGATCTCAAAAACCTGTTGACTGTTGCCTTCGTTACCGTCATCGGTGGCAAGCATTGATGTCTTCGAGTGTTTCACTTCATGTGCCATATCTTGGGATCAAATGAAGTGATTGTATGAATGGTTTGAATGAAATCCCAAATCAAAATTCAATTACTTTTTTGAATCACTTTTTAATTCAAACGTTAATCACGTCTCAAATAAGGCTTTACTTTTGTTTGCATTTTATGTCACATTTCACACAATTATCAATAATTATTACGTGAGTTGTCTGTAGTCCTCATTGTCTACAAAATATACGAACAATAAAATTGAATTCATTTGATTGACGGCTAAAACAAGAGTACAGTTTGTATTCATTTATTGTTGAAATTTTATAAACTTTCATAGAGTTCTCACAATACAGTCTATAATAATTATTGTTATATTTTCACATTTGTGTTCTCAATACTAATTCATTGTTTTAAAGTGTGATTTGATTAAAAATATTGAACTATTAGTACATAAATAGATTAATATTAATAATTGTAATATAACTCATATAATAATCAATTCCGAGCGCACTCTTAGACCAAACATAGGTTTTAATGGTTTATTATTTTTCCATTAATTAAGTTTAAATACAAAATAAACACAAATTTTTTATGATTTATATTTAAGACAATTATTGAAATATTTTCATATTTAGTAATAAATGTAATGAAATTAACACAAAATATTTAATACAGTATTAATACAGATATTAAACATTTAAACCAATTATTAAAAAGCAATTAAACATTTTAATACAAAATAAGGAGTAGTTAATAATTATTGATATTTCAGACAATTATTTATTATTAATCAATTAATCATAAATAATAGTAATAAATGTAATGAAATGAACAGAAAATAATTAAATACAGTATTAATACAAATATCAAACATTTAAACCAATTATACGGTAAAAGTTTTGCGATTCGTATTCACAATGAATTCAATTGCCTTTAGTTTAGGACTTCTGGACAACAGATCCTCGAAATCATTATCTGTCAGACCACTGATTACGTAGACATCAATGATAAGGATTTGCAGCGCCGGTAGTCTTGAGATGTGGTCCAAACACTCGCGACTTATTGTATTAGTTTTGATGGACAGGTGTTGAAGTCGTGGCCACTGTTTGTCACAATTGACAAACAATTTGTCACTCATTTTCCGTGAATTAATTGTCAAATGTGTTAATCGGTGGCAAAGTGTCAACGGTTCCAACACTTCGGGATTGAGGGCCACATTAAGCCATAAATTCAATCGTTTTAATCGTCGATAACATTGCAATGAATCCAAAGAATGACTATTGAATTCATCAATTAAATCCAAATTATGGCACGCATTCAAGTGAAGTGTCAATCGTTGCAATTGTTTACAATCTAAGCCAAACGTACGCAAAGACTCGGACAATGAGTTCTGACCACTCGTTAACATCAATCCGAGTCCTAATTCCCGTAATTGTGTTAATCGCGACAATTGTTGGCAAAGTTTAGGTAAAGTGTCGTAAACCATAAACACAGCGCTTCTGAGGCACAGATTGTGTGCCACGAATGCAGACAATCGGTGTTCATCTGAATTGTCGGCGAAATAGTCCAATAACTCAAATGTATGCAAATTCTTCGCAATAAGAGTTGCATTGTTTGCAAACTATTTCGCCATAAATTGCAATAAATTTGCTGCAAATTCCGGTCATTGTCTCGAAATGCGTTCAACACTTCGACAATTGGTTCTTCAAATCTACTGCTCATTCCTCGGCAGTCAATGGTTTCAATGTTTTCACACTTTATGGCAATTGTGGCCACTATTTGGCGGACATTGCTCTTCGGTAATCGTCTCATAAGTTTGTCGTCAATAGTAATGTCGCGAAGACTTCGGAAGACTGTCCGCCGGAACTGTTTGGACAGCGATTCGCAACGGATGTGGTCTTCGAGCGGAAAGTATGACAACAGAAGTGCACACAAATCGTCACCGAATCTGTCGATTGAGTTCTTCGCGTAAATCTGTGGCTAAAATGTGAGACAATTTACAAAACAATTAAAACTAAATTATCAAAAACCTTGTGTTTGTTGTCTTCGCTGCCGTCATGAGTGGTAACCATTAATGTCTTCGAGCGTTTCATCTCATGTGCCATATCTTGGGATCAAATGAAGTGATTTTATGAATGGTTTGAATGAAATCCCAAATCAAATGTCAATCACTTTTTGAATCACTTTTCATTCAAACATTAATCACGTCTTAAATATAGGCTTCACTTGTGTTTGCATTTTATGTCACATTTCATACATTTATTGATATTTATTACGCGAGTTGTCTGTAGTCGTCATTGTCTACAATATATCTGAACAATAAAATTGATTTCATTTGATTGACGGCTAAAACAAGAGTACAGTTTGTATTCATTTATTGTTAAAACGTTAATAAACTTTCTTACAGTTCTCACAATACAGTCAACAATCGCTATAATAAAAAGCAATTACACCTTTCAATACAATATAAATGACAATTTTTAATTAATTAATAATTATTGACATTTTAAACAATTATTGAAATCCATGTGTATTTTCACATTTAATTATTAGTATTATTTATTGTAAATCAATTAGAATTATAAATAGTAGTAATAAATGTAATGAAATGAACAAAAATTAATTAAATACAGTATTAATACAGATATTAAACATTTAAACCAATTGTAAATTAAAAGGCAATCGATTGGAGTTCACAAAAAATTCAATTTGTTTTAGTTTAGGACTTCTGGACAACAGATCCTTAAAGTCATTATTTGTTAGACCATTGCTGTGATGGCACTGAAGGCAAAACGTTTTCAGCGCCGGTAGTCTCGAGATGTGTGACAAACACTCGCGAGTTATTGCATTAGTATTGACGGACAGGTATTGAAGTCGCGGCCAATGATTGTCGCAATTAACAAACAAATTGTCATTTATTTTCTTGAAATTAATTGTCAAATGTGTTAATCGGTGGCAGAGTGTCAACGGTTCCAACACTTCCGGTTTGAGGTCCAATTTAACCGTAAAAGTCAATCGTTTTAATCGGCGATAAATTTTCAACGAATCCAATGAATGGCGATTAAACACATCCATGAGTTGACCTCTAAATAAGTCTGTATTCAATTCAAGTGTCAATCGTTGCAATTGTTTGCAATTTAAGCCAATTGTGCGCAAAGACTCGCACAACGAGTTCTGACCACTGGTTAGATACGAGAGATTGGAATTCGTTAGACATAAAGTGAGTCTCAATTGTCTTAATTGTGTTAATCGAGACAATTGTCGATAGTATCGCCGGAATGTGTTGACTGGCATAAAGCGGGCGCTTCTTAGGCCCAGATTCTCGGCCAGGAATGCAGACAATTGTTGTTCATCTGAAGCACACAAATAGTGGTTTAACTCAAATGAATCCAAATTCTTGGCCAAAAGTCTGTCGAATAGGGGTCTGAAAAAGTTGATCCGCAAGTGTGACAATCGGTGGCATTCAGTGATCGCTTGTGTGTCCGCAATGTTGTCAATACCACCGATTCGTGTGACGAGTGGTCCGAATGAATGCATTGTTTGCTCACAATTTCGCCATAAATTGCAATAAATTTCCCGCAAATTACGGCAATTGTCTCGAAAAGTGGTCAACACTTCGGGAACGTATACTTCATACTTTCCTCTCATTCCTCGACAGTCAATGGTTTCAACATTTGTACACTTTATGGCAATTGTGGCCAATATTTGGCGGATATTACTCTCCGGTAATTGTCTCATGAGTTTGTAGTCAATACAAATGTGGTGAAGACTCACGAAGACTGTCCTCCGGAACTGTTTGGACAGACATTCGCAACGGATGTGGTCTTCGAGAGAAAAGTATGATAACAACAGTTGACACAAATCATCACCGAATCTGTCGATTGAGTTCTTCGCGTAAATCTGTGGGCAAAATGTGAGACAATTTACAAAACAATTAAAATTAAATTAACGCTAAAATCAAAAACCTTTTGTTTGTTGTATTCGTTGGCGTCTTCGGTGGTTAGCATTGATATCATCGAGTGATTCATCTCTTCTGCCATATCTTGGGATCAAATGAAGTGATTGTATGAATGGTTTGAATGAAATCCCAAATCAAATGTCAATCACTTTTTGAATCACTTTTTATTCAAACATAAATTACGTCTCGAATATAGGCATCACTTGTGTTTGCAGTTTGTGTCACATTTTATACATTCACTCATTTATATACAAAGCCCCTAGAAATAAGCAAATATGTGTTATGCATCACTGAAAAATAAGTAGAAATTTGTTTTTTGTTTAAAAACATTCTTAGAAATGTTAGGGTTTTTGAAGATACTGTTCGTAAGACTGTTGAAAAGACATTATGAAAATAATTACCAGATTTAATTGTAATATGACAATTGTTAGCACTTTATCACTGATTTTACATAAATTGCAATCAATTGTTTGATTAATTGAAAATAATGATCAGATTTAGTAATGATATGACAATTGTTTAGAAGTTTATCACTGATTTTATATGAATAGTTTTAAAAATACACGTATAAATTTTATAAATTATTGTTGACACAAACTC